ACAAGGAAGAGAGATCCACAGGCGAGGTCTGGGAACGTTCCAATGCAGAGCTCCCGTGTTTCAGAGAGGGTACACCACCCTCCTTTTGTCAACCAGGAAGCTCTCTGAGCCTTAGTGTTCCGGGCTTTTATTGGCCAGTCCTGCAGGATAGATAGAGTAAATCATGCCTCCAAAGGCTAGTTGATATCAGCCTCCCAGGTGAATCTTTTTTGGTCTGGCTGGCTCCCATTCACGAGCACCAATACTGAGGTGTGTCCTGGAAGTCCTAGTCCAAGGCACCCCGGTTACTTTTTTCAGAGCCAAGGACAAAGGCCACCTTACTTGGGGTAAAACTGTGTCCTTTACTGCCCACCACTGCTTCCGTAAAAGCTCCCAAGATGACAGGGGTGGGCCATGTGTATATTGTTCATCAATCTCTGTACCCAGCTCCCAGCATGGTGCTTGGTACATAAAGGGCATGAGGTAAATAAATGTTTACTTGGACCAGTGAACAAATATGCAAATATACATGCTTCCATCTTTGTTTGCACCCTGAGCCACCCCTGATTTTCCCTTTTTCTTTGTATTCTAAATGTCAGTTTACAAATCCTTCTAGAACATAAGCTCCATGAGGACAAGCATCTTTTGTCTATTTTATATCACAGGTGCCTAGAACAGTGCCTGGCATGTAGTAGGTACTTGATAAATATTTGCTGAATGACTGAATTATTCCTCTAAATGTCTCTTAGATGATACCCTGCTGTCCCTCCCAAATTTGCCATCCTAGCACTACCCCTGGTTGAAAGTGGAATGTGTATCTCTGGTGGTAGGTGGTAGGAGCAGGACAGAAGGTGGGAGGGGAGAAATCAGGTGAATGATGAGCCTGAGTTGGAGGGAAAGTGATTGCTGGACAAAGGAAGCCCTGACTTTCTTATGTCCTCCAATGTCTGCCCTGTGAGCACAGGGTGATTCTGGGAGTTATCTGCAGAGATTCCCTTCTATTGAACAATTTCTTGACTTGTGATGTTGACTGAGTGCCCTCTGATGGAATTGTATTAGGCCCCCACTATGATGTGGTTGGTCCCAGGGTAGCGCAAACAGTTTGCGCACAACTGCTAAGCTAAAAGTTGATGGTTTGAACCCACGCAGTAGCCAGGGAGGAAAGGCCTGGTGATCAGCTTCTATAAAGATTACAGCCAAGAATAACAAAGTTTATTAAGAAAATGTTCTGCATCCTCCTTTGGTGAGTGGCATCTGGGGTCTTAAAAGCTTTCAAGCAGCCATCTAAGATGCATCA